TCAGGATGATCTGCTCCATCAGCTTGCCTGGTACGGAAGTCAAACTGACAATCTGAACAACTGCTTTAAGTTGATGGGTGTGATGTAAATTAAAGATCGAATAGGTACTGCACTTGAAAGCTAAATCCACCAATGCTATGAACAGGAAGAAACAGACACTAAGAAAAATTTCCTTGTACGCAGATGTACACGGGAACTGATTTTTCACTAGAGCCATTACTCTCTAAAATTACAAAGAGATGGTGCCACTATGAGAAGCAGGGCTTGGTGATCTGTTGATGCTCACCAACCAACAATAGGCTTTGAAGAAAACTACTCGAATCCATTTGTTGTGAATGCCTGAAACACAGCCAGAAATTATGACTGTGGAAGAGTAATTCCTAATGTATTGCAAGGAGTAATCCATAAATTAATTCTGCCTGCACTGTGCAAAGCATAGGTACCATTTACACACTGACTGGCATTACGTGATTTCTTTGGGGTTTGTGGATCTTTTGTGAACTTTTACAAGGTTCTTTCTCCTTCCTTTTCAGTCTTTTCCTCCTTGAAAAACTATCTTTCATGATGATTTTGTCGCAATGAGAAAAAGATGGTTATGATCCCATTAAACTCTGGGCAGTTCTAGAGCAAACTGTAGATGGTTCGAGTTTGCATAAAACACCTGTAGGAACTCTACTCTAGTTGTAGCTGAAGCTGACTGAGGTTTCTGTAGATTGCTATTTAATTCAGAAGGTAATATTAATCGGTGCAGCAATAATAGTACTCAACATTTCCACGATTTTATGGCAGTGCCTGACAGATGCTAGTCCTGCTCTGCAGGAGAACACCACAAAGAGAAGATATTGCAGAACACTCAGATAAAATCTCTCCATATCTCTAGCCAAGATTCCTTTACTTCTCAGGTTCTGCTGATTCTTCAGCCTTTTTGCAAACACATGGTAATAAGAAAACACAAAGCTGTTCTATCCTTTTACATATGCACATTGCTCATGAAATGACACTTCACCTTTTCCTGAAGAAAAAATAGTTTTGTATTTTTCTTGTTTTGAATTAACCAAAAAGCTAAATAATGAGTACATTTGGCTCATTTTCAGTCAAGGACAGAATAAGCAACTTAAAAAATTGGACTTTAAAGTTACAAAAAAAACCCAAAATGTGTTAAAGCGTCATGATGCTTCTCTTTATCATGGTCTACGTAGCACAAAAATAACTGCTTCATTGTGGGTTTTTTTGTGTATTAGTTCAGCTTCACACATCAAGGAAGGATGTCATCAAAATTGGGAATGTTAAAAAGAAGGACTTTTTGTAAGCAAAATGTTAATTCATCAAAAATGAAAACTTCACAGAAGCATCTGTCTCTTTAAATGAGAACTTTACTGGGAATTACAGAACATCTGCTAAAAGTAGAGATGAAGAACAGCAGCAAAGGCATTCTGACTAATTCAGAATAAAAGATGTGAACACAGAACTCCCACATCCTGGATGAGTGGTATAAAGAGTGGGCCAATACTCCCCTCATCTTCTCCCAGCCATACTCAGTTACCTTTTGCTAAATAGTCATAGGCCTTGCTTTCACTTCTCATTGAAGCAAGTATCAAGAAAGAACAATAATTACAAAAATATCATAAAACTAAATTCTTGGTTTCTGCCCAACGTCTATTATAACCAACAAGTTAAAGTTTCCTTTTTAATGTATTTTATCAAGGAATCTGAAGATTCTTAGGTTTAAGCCTACTAAGATCCAAAATTATATTGCAGAAATAAGAATATAGCATTGCAAATGCCATTCCATCAAAAATTATGGAAGCATCAATAAAGTTTCTGAACTTTTTGGCAAGCTGCATAGATAACATTCAATTAGATTTTTTTAATAGAGGAATACTCAAATTTGATTTTTCAGTAGGGGAAATAATAATCTGGGGAAAAAAGACAAAAAGTTTATTACCTGGTGTACAAGTATATATTTTCTATAAATGCCAACACACTTTTGGCAGTAAATTATCATCTACCACAAATACTCATTTCCACTGTTCCTAAAGAATGCATTGAGTACTTGCTACTAACACACCCAAAAATAATTACCTGTAGTTCCCCATGTGTCTATTTTCATGCTCCTCTTTGGAAATCTGTTTGCGTACTTGTGCAAGTCTCTCCTTCTACAAATCAAGAAAATAAAACAATTAAAACAAAGACAGTGTAAGCCATGGGAAAAAAAAACAAAGCACATTTTTTTCTTTCCTACCAGTTCTTCTTTTCTCCTTTCCAGTGTGTGGCGTTGCTTCTCCCAGTCTGAGGAACCAGGCAACAGTTTTTTCATCGAACCTTGACCGTACAGTCTTTTTTGAGCCTCAGCCTTCTGTTGAGCTAAATTTCTCCTTTTATCACTTGTCCTGAATCATAGATGATATTAGGATACATCAATTCAACGCAACTGCAATGAGATGCACTTTCATCTCAAGTGTATCATCTGCACTTTCCAGTCAGACAGGTACAGTTTATGGCATTAGAATTGAAATACTCATATGAATTTTTTTAAAATACAAACTTTAATGGCTACAACATTTTCACACATTAAGGTGTACTGTCTCTACCCTGCACTATAATTTAATCTACTAACATGGTTTCCCGAAGTGTAGATTTTTTCCAACATAGCCTAACCAGAAAGTTTTCCCATAAAGGGGGATGTTTTTGACTGTATGTGAAACTATTGCAAAAACAATTTTCCTGTGTAGACACATACACATGACTGCACTCATATCCCCACTTCGAGACATGTTTGGAAAAAAAAAATTTAAAAAGTATGAAAGTACGAAAATTACTATTACTGCTCACTTTCTGCAAGCACATGAGTAAGAAGAAAAATTAAATTCAGGCTGATTTCAACAGCAAAACTGATGACAAGGGAATCATTTACATTTTTAAAACATGAAGGTGGAAGAAAGGTCTCAATTTTATCCTTGTCCAGCTCAAATTTAAAAAGAAATTAAAAAAAAAATCAAAGCAACAGAAAAGGAGTCTGAAGAAAAGAGGACAAGTTTACCGTATGTTGAGAAGCTTTAATGCATTTAGCAGAACGCCTTTTTTTACATCATAGTCTATTTTTTGATCAGTTCCAAAGCTTGGAGCACGATTAATCTGAAAAAAAACCCCAAGATATAGAAGATTCAGGAACGTTTGGGTGCACTGGGAACACATCTATTGTAACAGGCTTTGGAGAAACCATTCCTTCAAATGTAGCAGAGATTAATAGAATACATGTAGAGAAGCTCATTTTTGTTTGTATTTTTTAAAAAATAGAGCACTGAGTATCATAGATACTGGGAGCCAGGAGATGTACTCTTCAGCCACCACCCAGACACTTACAATGAATACTGTTCAAGTCCTGGCGCTATGAATCCATTCTAATCTATTCTTGGTTGCTGCAACCAGAAAATTTACCATGAAAAGTGCATTATAACAGACTATGTGCCAAGCTATGGTAGTCCAGCAGAGGAAGAGATAAACTCTTTCCTAGCTTAGAGTCTGAAAGCAACTGGAATACTTCTCTAAAAAGTAACAGCTATGAAAGGACAGAAAGAGGCTCTAATTCAAGGTCTTCTCAAGTGCATTTAAATAACAGTTCAGTTACACTCTACAGCAACACCTAGAGATCCAAGTTATTAAATCAATACATAGTGTGAAAACATAAAATAATTAACAGCCTCAGTCACAACAACCTTATAAGCTAAGTACAAGAGATTAAAAGTGTTACCATAAATATAGACAAACAAGGGAAATGCAGCTGAGAATCAGTGAGAATAAGTCAAACAATTAACAACCAGAAGTCCTAACCGGTCACTGTATAACCACTGCCCCTGCAGAAGAACTTCAGTTTTTGGAAGACTTTGAGGAGGGATAATGAAATAGCTGCATCAGTGTTTCTAGAGCACCTCCCAGGTGGTATCAAAATGTACACATGAGCAACGAGGGGCTGCAGTCTCACCTTGGCAGTGAATGAGCAGCGCTGACTACAGAAGGGACAGATACTAAAGAGCTTCAGGAGAGAAAACTAATACCAAGTGGCCCATGCAAATAAGGAAGTTATAGTTAGCATGTTCAAAGCAGAGGGCAAAAACAGTTCATTAAAATTGCAGTTTAACGCTTTAGATACATTAGAGCAAGTTAGAGCCTCTGCAGCTGTGGGACAGAACGACTGGCTGGCGAGGCACCAACTATCCTGCGGCTGAGGCCCCACAGCCCCATCACTTATATTTATCGCCTTCGAGCTTTGAGAACCAGCTTGTTTGCTGGTTTTGCAGACGGGCTGGCAAAGCGAGCAATTAGATCTGATGCTGAAAGAAAAAACACAAAAATTCAGCAGAAGCACTGAAAAAGCGTATCCACACTCTTTTTTGGAAGACTTTAACTCTTATCTTTTACTGACCATCTCCTTAGACTGACCTGTTCATTTCCTATCGCATCACAAAGGCTTATGGATTTTTTGTATGATGTGATAGTACAAACACTTATCGATACTCATTTTTTTTGAAATCTCACCATTCCACTTTCAGCTAAGCAAACACTTAAGCGTTCAGAGAAACAAACACAAGGATTAAAACCCAGTTCTGCAAAATTTCATTAGAGAATGCTGGCAGTTGACAAGACCACAAACCCATCGCATCTCATTTTCAACATGAACTTTAAACAAAACACTTTAACTAGAGCTGCATTGATGAAATATAGCTGATATGTGAAATAAGTTGGAAATATTCTGATTCTGAGATATCATATCATCTAATCCAGGAAGGATATATCTATATTTAAAAACACACGTGTGTGAAGATCCAATATGGAGCCTTACGCCATCAGTCCAGCAAATACCTAAGCAGACAAAAAGCTCACTGAAAAGAATATACATAAAATCAAGCCCCAGCTCTTTATTCAGGAGAAATGTTAGGTGTTGAACAAAATCATATTCTGTACCATGTATTGAATTTTTTTACTCCATATGAACACGCAGCAATAAACAATATCCTACTTTGAAATAATGTTTTTGTATGCACTAAAAACAGGTGAACTGACAAAAATACATTTATTAAAACTTCCACCAGGTAATTTCTCTTTTTTTATGTACAATCATAGAATCATAGAATGGCCTAGGCTGGAAGGGACCTTAGAGATCATCTAGACCAACCTCCCTGTTTTGTGCGGGGACGCCACCTCAACTAGATCAGGCAACACATGGGGACTGAGCAGGAATCAAACCCGCGACCTCGGTGTTGGTCCTCGTCAGCACCACGCTCAAACCACTGAGCTAACCTTAAATCCAGTGAGACAGCAGTTAGATACAAAAACTTAATTTAGAACATGTAAAATTCCATGTTGGTCCAATACTGAGTTACTAGAGATGCACAGGCACATGCTTACACAGCACTGAAGCACCCAACTTGAGAGCACACAAAGCTGCACGCTGCTGTATTTATATTTGGGTTAGGTACTTCCTAGATTTACAACAATTTGAAGCATAATACTGGGCATGAATTCTGCATTAATAAAATGTTATAAATATGCATTACTTTTATCAGCACCAGTGAGAATTAACACCATGAAAAGCGTAAAATAATTTAAGTAACAGTTTCTCTCCTACAGGGTGAATTTTGCCAAAAACCTACATCTGGCACTTCTGAACAAACAAAACTGTACTGACTGTGTTTATTTAGCAAAAAATTAAAGTGGGGATAGGAAAGATATAAAAAGGCATTTTAAATAGTATTATGAAGAAAAATGCTATTATGAGACATTACACAATCACTCCACACTAAGGTTTCTGTCACTTCACTACACTCATTTGATGGGCTGATACAGAACTTAGTAAAAACTGGAGGACCACTGTATCGCCTGCATCCTCGATTTTCTGACATACCATTCATGACCCCTGTTTGAAATCCCAATCCTACTGTGACCTCAGTCCTAAAGAGTAAGCAGAGTGGCAGTAAAAGCAGTGATCCAGTTCCGGATCACTGCAATCTTCAACCTTGGTTTCATAATTAAAATTTCACTGAATTTAGCACATACAATTAATCAAGCTGGTTGCATGCACAGCAGTTGTGTAGCTTAGCGCATTTCAGAATTATATACTTGTCAATAGAGGACCTCGCATCTGTAATGCTCCTGTAAAGACTTCCACTCACAGTTATATTTGCAAAGAATTCTGATTTTACAAAACTTAAAAACCATAAATGTGTAAGATACACCATTTTCTCCTTCACCAAGACATGGGATAAATTTCAGTCTGGCATTTCACCTCTTTACCAAAACAGTCAAAGAGCATATTCTCACCTCCCACTGCTGCAGTCTATTAGTGTGGAGCAGGAAAAGAAATTTTCCACTATCTGTCACATATACCTACTGAAAAGCCCTTTCAAATATAAAGAGAGATTACATGAATTACTTTATAAACCTAAAATCAATTGAATAAAACATGAAATCCCTTCAGTAACAGGAATTTAATCTCTGTTCAATCTGTAGGACAGCATGAACATTTTGGAAACGATCTCGTTCTTTATTAAAGTGATGGAGATTGCTCACAATAGAATTCAAAAAGCAAAAGAAATTTATAAACCATAAAAATCCTATTATACAGAATGCTGTTAGTGGCCATCGAGCAGATCTTTGAATAGATGATCATGAACTTCATGATGATCACGAAGTTCATTCTAATCACTCATTTCTAAACTTCACAAGTTGTGAGAGTGCTAACCACCTTTTTCTTAGCTTAGGCAGAAGACTGGTTTTCCATTTAAACTAACACAAATCCAAGCTGTCATGCTCTGCCTATTTCGTTGTCTCGGCACTGGGGTTCACAGAAAGTGAGGAAGCTGATCCAAATGATCCACACAAAGATTAACTTCACCAGAAATCATTTTTCATTGGTCCTTGATCCTGTCAGGAGGGAATCATACAAGTACCGGTGCCATCACAGGGAAGGGGGTGTGGAGCACACCTTCAGCAACAGCGAGGAGCAAGGCAGACAACTCGCAGGCCAGTACAGTGATCAGGTTATGCCCCACAGAACTGCTTCATACGGGCACAGATCCGCATTTCACCTGGGCCAGTGCAACCGCAAGCTGCCCCGAAGGCCTGGTGCTGCCCCTCCCCTAGTCCTGCCTTCGCATCACTTTGCCCCCACACACACCAGACCAAGTGTTGTACAATCCCAGCGTGAGGCAGCTCTGAGGGCTGAGTGGGTCTAAAAGTATGGTTTGCTTGGAATTATAAATTTGATGTTCATCCAAAGAGCAAGCAGAAACATCTCATCCAATAGACATGACCACCAGACAGAGGCGAGTTGCCAGACCAGCTCTTTGGGCAACTGCCCGCAGTAACACCATGTTACACGTGAAGTCAGGCTGCTCTCTAACTCTTTATTCACTGGAAAAGTGTGAAGAGTAGGAGTTACACCAAAGGCAAAAAATATTGAGCCAGTTCAAGACCTGTGTGATTAGTGGATTCATTGATACTGAGAGCAAAGAAAATCCACAGACAAATGTCAGAGAGAGGAAAAAGCCAGCAGACAGCAGGAGAGACCCACAAATGGCTCTCCAAGGCAACAGAGTGAGAGGTTCCCTGGGTACAAGAACCACTGAAAGGAAGTCTTTTCTCTTATAAATAAGTAGCATTAACCAGAAGGAAAAGATTGAACCAAAGAGTTAGATGAGCAATTTCATCAGTTGCTCTTCCTAATGGTAACCAGAAAGGTTCTAAACATTGCTAATTCCTTGGGTTAAGGGGCAACTCCGCTTTTCTAGCTTTTCTTTTACATATATGTATATATAAACTCATCAAATAATTGAAATGTTGACCTTGCTGAAGACCGTGGCAGGGCAGCATTAAAGGTGCTCTGTGCTCACCTAACTGATCATTAATGCCCATGTGTCGCTCCCTTATTAATGCTGCCTCATTGACTGTGGTAGAAGTGCTTTGTCAAACAGATACAGTTTTTACTGAGGAACAGAAGTAAAACAGGTGTCCTCTGTTGCAAACCTACAAAGAAAATAAACTGTTCCTTTTCAAACTTATAAGCTGCAAAAGAGGTCTTAAGGAAATGATAAATCAATGAATATTTGAAAAAAATAACTTATAGACATGAATATTCA